AGAAAAATAAACTTTTATATGCTGAAGCCTCTGTATTTTTAAAATTAGGAATTGAATGCAACTGATACAATGCATACATCTAGCATTATTAGAAACAAATATTATCCTTTGGTGAGGCAATTTATCACATCTATTCCTGAATATTGATACCTTTAGTAGAAAAGGTGAACAAAAGGATGGTGATACCAGGGGCCACAAAGTAAGAAGAGAATGTATAAAATCAATGTTGGAAGGAGAAAGAGGAACCAAGGCATTAAATACCGTGGGAAAACTGCTCACTTTTTCTTCCTATCAAACACTCAAACTTGGGCAGAATATTTTTTGAATAAAAAAGGCAAGCTTATACAAACTTACAAAATGTGAGTACACCCTCAAGGAAACTAAAAATAGCTATGTAAGCATACTTTAAGGGAAATTGAGAGAATAGTAAGTATGCCAGATAAAATGGCATTAACTCCTTGATCTCTTTTAGACTGCTTTTGCCAGCCCTTTTTAGAGGGACAGGGAGTGCTGTCAATCTCCAAGGAAGCCTCATTAGTCAGAAACAGAGCCTTTCTATATTCTATTTATTAGTTGTTACATTTTATCCTTAGCGATTTTTTTAGTTTGGCTACTCATAACCAAATCATTAACAAATGGAGAGTTTCAATTTATTTGGCCAGAATCCTCAAACCCTTGGTGAACTCTTGTTACACTTGACCAAAGTCACATAGCCATTTAATGTCATCACTACAATACACTAAGAAACTTAAAATAAACCTCCTTTAGTCTACACACAAGTTCATTTTCTCTGATCACCCTGTCCTTACAACTGTTTTTGATGGTGATTTGAGTTAGGTTCCAGATATTAGACCTATAGTAAAATAAATTTTAGGCACAAACCCACCCAGGACATAGTCACACTTTTACATTCACTCTAAGTCATAAACATATCTACAGAGGAGCTTGGGCTTTGTAGCTGAAAAGTAAGTCTATTCTTGAAAGGAACTTTGTGCATGAGGAGCACTGAGTATGTCAACATTCCAACAGATAAAGATGTTTGGTTAGACCTATGGATTCTCTGTTTAATGGGGAAAACCCAAAATTTTAATTGGTTAATTTAATTTGAAATACTTTGGTGTCCGTATGTACCTATTTTTGTTGAGTTTATTCCATGTGTGAAATTTCTAGTGTATTAGATATGCATATATTTGTCTTTATTACAGGTTTCCAAGTAGTGTTACTCATATTCATACCAGTTTACACTCCTACCATTAATGTGTAAAAGTTCTCATTGCTCAACAGCCTCACCAATAATTACAACGGCCACTGAGTTTTTGGTTTGTTTGGGTTTACCTTACTTGTTTGTATGTTTTCAGTGGTTAAGGTGAATGTGTGGTGGTCTCATAGTGGTAATTTATAACTATATTGATGCCTTTTTAGTTTGTAAGTGGATTATCTATCTTTATTCATTTCATATACTCATTAGCGTTCAGGAGTCTCCTTTAAGAAATGCTTTGCCTACTCAAGCCTTTCCCCATTTTCCTCCTGGATTATCTGTCTTTTCTTTTACTTTAGGAGCTTTTTATATTCTAGAAATCAGTTTCTGGAATATATATATATATTCCAGAGAGAGACAGACAGAGAAAACACACACATATATACATACAGGTGTGTGTGTACGTGTTATCCTGGGGATCAAAACCAGACCCTTGTGCACGCTAGGCAAGTCTTCTACTCTGAGCTATACAGCAACCTATTTTTTCACGTTCTTTTTTTTATAATGCTTTTTGTTGAACACCTCTTAATTTTAATGAAATATAATTTATCAATTTTTCTTTCTTGATTACTGCATTTTGTCTGAAAAAAACCCTTTGCTTACTCCCTAAAACAATGAAGATATTCTATGCTTTCTTCTAAAAGTTTGTTTTAGCTTTTACTTTTAAAACTATAATCCATCTTAAATTAATTTTGATTCATAAACAGTATGGAGTAGCAGTCAATTTTTACTTTCCTCACATAAGCATACAGTTTCTCAAGGTCCTCTGTTGCAAAGACATTCTTTGCTCCCACTGAGTTGACGCCTTTTTTTTCATCAACTGACTGTATGTGCCTGGGTCTATTTGTCACTGTATTATCTCCTTTTGGTCTGAATCCATTCTTGCGCTATCACCACAATGCCTTAATTACTGCCATTCACTAACATGTCTTGAAATCTAGGAAATCAACTTTGTTCTTTGTTAAGTGTCTTTGCTATTCTTGACGATTTGAGTGTTCACATAAAGTTTAGAATTAGCCTCAAGTTCTTCAAGCTAAACCTTTTAAGATTTGGATGGAGGTCTATGGAATCTATAAATCACTATGGTAAAAACTGGCATCTTAACAGTATTTGTTATGGTTTGCATCTAGATGTCCCCAAAAAAACCTCATGTGGTCATAGGTGGGGGTTTGGGAATGGGACTGGTTCCTGGGTGTGATACTGGATTATTCCAAGGATGGGTTTATAGCTGGGTTTGAGGTTGGCAGGTGAAGCCCGTTGAGAAGAGGTGAGTCAGTGTAGGAGTGCCTTGGAAGGATATATATCCCTCCTCCTCCCTTGATCTTTGCTCTGCTTCCTGCCTGCCATAACATAAGCTCTTTTTCCTCTGCCATGCCACCCACCCTGCCTTGTTGCCAGCCAACTATGGAGTGAACCTTCTACAAACTGTGAGCCAAAATAAACCTCTCCTCTTTTAATTTGTGGGGTCGAGTATTTTGTCCTAGCAATGAGAAAGTAACTAAGGCAGTATTAAATTGCTAAACCCACAATCATGTTATATTTCTAAATTTATTTATCTTATTTATCACAGTATATTTTGTAGTTTATTGTACAGCAATACTATATGTCTTTCAAATGACTAACTTCTAAGGATTGGATGTTTTCATTTTATTATAAATTGAATAATTTTTAATTAAAAATCATTTGTCAGCATATATACAATTTGTATAAGTTGACCTTATTAAATTCACTTATTACTTGTAATATTTTGTCTGTACATTACAATTCTCTATGTACAATTTTTTAGTCTACAAATAATTACAATTTTATATTTTCCTCTGTAATCCTCATAACCTTTTACATCTTTCACTAGGCCTTGTAATTGACTAGAATCTCTAGTAAAATGTTGAAAGAAAGTACTGTTATCTTGTTATCTCATCCCTGATCTCAGAGGAAAAGCTTCCACTATTTTACCATTAAATATTATGCTTACTATAGATTTTTTGTACATACCTTAGTGTCAGATTAAGAAATTATATAGGTGAACTACAACACATTCACAGATGTATCTAGAACGTCAACATTCATAAGAACCAAAAACTGGAAATGAAGCATTTTTCATCAGTAGAATAGATAGGTAAATGTGGTACATCCATGCAATGAAATACCATACAGCAATACAAAGGGATGCATTACTGCTATACCCAGCAATATGGTGATTCTTACTGACATAATGTTCAGTGAAAGGGCATATGTATGCATAAGGAAATATCTCACTTTTGGGAGATTTTTATTACTGCATTCAGCCATCTGGAACCTTTTGCTAATAAGTTGATTAGAAGAACATCAGATATCAGTGTGACCGTAAGAAAATACTTCCTTATTACCTGATCACTCAATCTTAATCATGTACCACCAACACTGTGTATTTCATCAATTAAATAGTTGCCATAGTAGACCCACCCTTCAGTGACCATCAGTGTGTCATACTGTCATATAAACCCCTCTCCTTGAGGGCAGGCAGAACCTGTGGCTTGCTTCTAGCAAATAAAATATAGCAAAGGCTGTGGGATGGTCACTCCCTTGACCAAGTTATATTACATAAGACGCAATCTTATAGTCTAAGAGACTGATTCTCCTCCAGGTCTTGAAGAAGTAAGCTGCCATGTTGTAAGAAAGCCTCACGAACTGCAAAGAGTAATATTGAGTGACAGCAAGAAAACAGGACCTCAGCCCAATGACTACAATGAAGTAATATCTCCCAACAACCATATGAGCTCCCAACAACTACAGGATCTCAAATTCTAGAACCTAGTCATGGCCAATACCTTGTTAATAGCCTTGAGAGACCCTCGGCAGAAAATCCAGCTAAATTGTACCTGCACTCTTGACCATGGAAAAAGTAAGATAATAAATGCATGTTGCTTTAAAGTATATGTGTGTAGTAGCATTTTACACTCAATAGATAACTAATACAGTTCCATTGTTTCTCACTATTCCTGTCTTTTCTCTTTGGGGGAAATGTGGTCATGGACATAGAACTACAGTAACATCTTTTTGAAGCTGTTTTGTGAGTAGTGGCCCTCTAAACCTGAGCACAACTGTCATTGTGGGGTTCCCCCATAGTCCTGCACATCCCTTTACCTTCCTATTCTCTTTCCCATGTATTTCTCTTTCTTGGTTTAGTTCTCTTTCACTGTCACACCTTCCTCAATCTTTTCCATAGAAAATAGGCACGGCAATGACATTGTTGAGATCTTACATATCTGAAAGGGATTTTATTCTACACTTCAATTTGATTGGCAGCTGGCTTGGATATAGAATTCTAGACTGGAAATTATTTTGAAGGCATTATCCCATCAGGTTGCTATTGAGACATCAGAAGAAATTCCAATTCCTTATACTTTATATACAACCCATTTCTTTTCCTCCTCTGTAAAGATAGTTAAGATTCTCTGCTTGTCCCCATGTTCTGAATTTCACAACAATATGTCTTGGTGATGGTGTATTTTCATCTGTAGCTGGGCTCTCTGTGAGCCTATGCAACCTGGAAATTCAAGTCCTTCAATCTGAGGAAATTATCCAAGTCAGCTTCCCCACTTCTTTCCCTGTTCTCTTTTCAGAATTCTTTCCATCTGTATGTTGGACCATTTGCCTGAGTGTGTCAATGTTCCCTGTAATCCAAAACAATCTAGCTAGCACACCCTACAATAGGCAACATAGAACAAATAGCCTAAATTGAGATTTCAGTTTAGATTCTCACCACCCTCTACAAGTAGTTTGAAAAGATCTCATGTCCTGATTTCACTGCATTTGCTCCACTTGGTCTTGTTTCTTCTGCTGAAGCCCTGGAAGCTTCTTTCCTTCCTCACAAAGTCCTGAATTGCAAAGAAAGCAAAATTTTGCAGTTATTTCTCGTGTCCCTGCTTTGTTTCCCACAACGTGCTTTCCATCTTAAGGAATTGTTCACCGTTCTTGCTTTCATCATCTTTTTTAGGGGATTTAGGGAGATATCGTTACATGAGTTAGGATTCTTGCTTGCAAGAGGTAGATACTCAGCTTGAGTTAGTTTAAGCAAAACAAACAAAAGAAAAAACCAAAACCACGAGGGAGGAGCTTACTGGGAGAACACAGTCAAGCCATAGAAAATGTAGATTCTACTGGGCTTCAGAAATTAGACTGGGGGTTGGGCATTGTCAAAGCTGCATCTCCAACTCCTGTCTCTGCTTTTGTCTGGTGCCTTTATTCTTGTCTCTTAAAGTTTTATCCATATGACAATAAAAATTATCACTAAAAACTTGAAAGTTTTACAACTTGCTGCTTCAGTCAGGTGACAGGCTGAGTCATCTCGCTGAGTCCGAAATTCCAAAATCCTGGAAAATGGCTTTGACTAGCCAAGCCCAACTTGGATTTGTACTTACACCAATCAACTACAGACACAAAATCAGACTGACAGCACAATAATGTTAGCTGCGCAAATGGCAGAGAAGAACAGCTCACAGATTCTAGGTGCTGGTGCCCAGGTGGCAATCTCACAGATGTTCCTTATAACAAGCCCTCTTTTCAAGATGTAGGATATAGATGTTAGAATGGTGCTTAACAAGTAGGCTTGCACTTCTCTGAGACTATGTAGCCAGATCCTTCACATGCCTAAGTGACATTTCCAGCATTCAGATTCTATTGGCATAAAGTACAACCAAGAATACAACAACCAAGGCAAGAATTGGGTTAAATCACTAGTATCTGCTTTCCCAAATTCATAGTGCATACTCTGGTAAAAATTTCGGTATGTTCTTGAAGTAATAATTATTTTTAATAAAGAGTGGGTACATGTAGATTTACCCTAAAATTCTTCATTAGTAATTAGCTTATACCTAATTCAACTGATAATTCTCAAACTTCTGTTTTTCTGTTTCACTGGCTGTGTAGACCTGCCTCAAAAGGCCTGAACAGAAAAGAATGCCTGTTCCTAAGTGAATGCTGAGCTCCCTGAGTACATTATAATTTGACAAAGGAGACCTTCAAAAACTTTAACTCTGATGTTAATAAAAGGAGGAGGAATACGATTTTGTGTCAGCCTTCTTTTTACTCATGTAATTGGAATGCTGGGTTCTTAGGTCTTTCTGAATTCTTTTCGTTTTCTCATGAGTCATTTAGTATTTCATTCACCTTTTGCTTTGTTCTTGATTCTTCTTTTAGCTATTGTTTTCTCTTTTTACTGCTGGCTCTCTTCAACTTTTTGTTGAGATGATTATCTAAAAGAAAAACAGAATTTCTTCTAAAGAGAGCAAAACTCTAACTTGCAGTTGTGAAAAGTATTTTACACTATTTTTGTATAATTACTTTCATTTTCTATAGTGGAGCAGCTGAGAAAAATTGCTCTAATTGTGTAATTTTCTGCAACTACTCTGGGACAAAAATCTGGGTAATTGGATTTTTTTAAACTAACAAGTTGTCACAATTGGATAGTTCTTAAACTATTTGTGCTTATGCTTCAGAAATTTTCAGTGGATGTACAGTGTATTTTAAATGTTTTGCATCAGCTTGTGGTCTCAAATTTGATTTATTTTAGCTTGGAATTTTAAAATAGATTGACAACTCTGATTATACATTGTCTTCACTAAACGGACCTTTGCTAAGTTTCCTAGCATGTTCATCCCCACCCCACACTCTGCTGTTGCCATGGGAGCCAAAATCCTGGCATATGTAACTCCAGCTCCCAAGTGGCTCTGTTTCCCAGAGTGCTTTGCTGTTACTATGGAAATGACTACCCATTAATCTTGCTGTCCTTTTACTACCAAAGCACCTTTCACTGTCTTAAGCAATCAAGTGATGTTACCTACAACAGAGAAAGAAAGGAGAAGACTGCTTCCCATTCTACAACTGCAGCACTGATTTTAATCAAGATTTAATCAAGGAGCAGAAGGAACTAAAGCTATTCCAACAGCTCTTTTTAAAAATATACAAAGTAGGGTTCTTGATATATAGACACATGCCCTTGTTCATGCCCTTGTTGGAGACTTCTGAAAAGGCATACTACCTATTTTTAAAGCTACATTTGTGCTTCATATACATTACAAAATAGCATAGTGGAATCAGGCTGGCAAGTGGCCACTTACTGCTACTGATGAGAAGAATGCAATGCCTGAAGAAATTGTTTTTGGAAACAGTCATAAGAACAACCTAAATAATTGTCCTGATAACTTGAATAAAATCTTATTATCTTATGGAAGTTGAGGGATGGTAAACAGGAGTCAAAAGAAAATTTGCAAACTAATCAGAGATAATTTAATGAACTTTGAATCTTTCTTCTATTATAAGTTAGGCATCTGAAATTTTAAATTTGACTGTGTGTCTTTTGTACAAAATGAAAACAGGACTTACTGGTAATTCTGGAAGGATTTTCCGGGTGATCAGGAGAGAAAAGTTGCTTGAAAACAAATGAATATTGGCTTGACTCTGCTGGATCTGAGCTCATCACCATGGGGAGATTTGACAGGTTCTGGCAAATACAATGTGCCCAATAGATGCTTTTAGAAATAGGAAAATATAAGTGGTAAAAATATATAGGGAGATCTAGCTGATACCTACAACACAAAAGGCAGCATTTTCTCTGAAAATAATTAATTTGTATTAATGTTGAGTGAGGAAGAAAGGGGAAGAATTATGGTAGAGAAATCAGAGTGAAAAATTAGGCACATCCCCTCTTTCTAAAGAGCCAGAGGGAAAGGGGTAGTTGTGAGTCTGAGCAATCTAAACAAAGTTGCCTCTTGCTCTGTCACTCTGCCCTGAAGCAAAAAGATGAGGGTGACTGGATGAAATAAAGGTGACACAAAACCTAAGCAGATTTGCTCAAATATCTGGTAGGAGAGAGTGCATTCCATAAGTTACCATTTCTACAATGGTTAGGATATTCTTCCTACAAAAAACAGATCTTGGAGATAGGTTAGAATGAGAGAAAAAGATTGGTTTGGTAGGATTTTGTCAAAACAGATATAAAAAAATATAAAGTGACTAATTTTCCGCATTTGAGCATCATTCTGAGCTTCCAATAACCTAAACTTGCAGCTTCCTGACTTAGAGAATGATTTTTACCCCATCCAATTCCCCAAAAATGAATGCAGGAAGGAACTACCCAATAATCTCATATATCTTGACTTCAGTTCCATTTTCCCTGCTCATATGAAAAGGAACATGTAGAAACCTGCCAAAGTCAGTATGTCTGTGAAGCCACCCAAGGGCAACTCAGTTTGCACAGGCCAAGTCCCAAATGCTATGTTACCTCAGCATTACTTTATTACTTTTATACCCATGGAATAGATTCACTTCATGCTGTTTTTTTAATAGAAAAAAACAAATTCTGGGTCACCAGACTAGGAACAACTCATTTAAAATATGTGTATTAACTAGGTGAAATGTTGCACACCTGTAATCCCATCACTGGAGAAGCTAAAGCAGGAGGATTGACACAAGCTCAAGGCCAATCTGGGCTACATAGTGAGTTCAAGGCCACCCTGGAATACATAGCCAGACCCTGTCTAAAAAAGAAAAAATTTTTAAAATGTGTGTTATTTGTAGATTATCATTTACTCACATCTAGAAGAGTCAGAGTGATTTATAGCAATTAAGATATCAACAGAGACAGATCTTATTCTCTTGAGATTTCTTGGATAAATTAAGGAGCATCCTGGTTTGACTTGTGTGTCTGTCCATGCATTTAATTACTTCCACAAGGCAACAACAAAACAAATTATTTGCAGTAAGCTCATCAGATCTTCAGTGTTCTAAGACGACTTTATGTTAAAGCAGCCATCCTCAAAATGTGAAATTGCATATATGCACTTGTCTTATCAAGGGAGCTTGAGTGCTAGGGGCCAGAAACACATGTGTAATATAAGCATTTTTCCATAAAATCCGAAAGCTTACCACATCACAGGCATTTAATAGTTATGAAATAACAAAGTTGATCAACTAAGCAAAATCCCCAGAATGCTCATAGAGGGAGGAAACAGCACCATTTTGGTCTTCATCCTCAAACTTGCCCTTTTGACTAATGCTAATCTATACTTTAACTTGATGCATCTCTGTCCCTAGAATCTTATAACTTATGGTAGCAGTAAATAGATATCCAGACCAGCCCCTCTACAAAGAGTAAGTTGTAGGTCTATGCACATACAGAAGTATATTTTCAGGTAACAACAAAAAGAAATGGTGCTTTCTGAATTTAGCATGGGAATAATGTCCATGCTTTCAATTTCAGATAAACTTAAAAACCTAAAAAATTGGAAATTGAAAATAATTCGTCAAGATCACGTCTTTCAGATCAAACCTGAGGCACACACTTTGTAAAATAATGCTTATTCTCCTTAAGATGAATCCCTACCTTTCCTCAGTGCTTCTGGACCAATAACTGATCACACAACCCCAACAGAGAAATCAGTCTCTGCTGTGAGTTGTAGAATCAGGGGACTGATTGTAGAATCCAGGGGACTGTGTGTGAGAGGGGATCTTAAAATGGTTAGGAAGAGGGTGAGAAATGGAGAGAAAGGCCTGAATAAAGAACTGGATGGGGAGAGATTTTAGGCATGGGAGCCCTCTGAATATGCCACTGATCTTTGTGTGCCTCTGAGTTGGCTCCTCGAAGATTAGACATGATATGGCCTCCAAGTAAATGGACAAACCAAAAGTGCCTTTTCAGAGTACTGAGGAAGGTATCAGAAGGTACAGGGGGTGAGAAGGTGAGGATAGATATATTAGGTGCAATCAGACTGTATTTTCCAAGAAGATCCAGAAGGTATCCCGTCACTAGGTCAATAAGGAGAACACTAGTGAGTAAGACTGACGTCCTTTGGGCATGACAGGCACAGTGCTTAGGGGTCCATGAAAAGGTTTTAATTATTTTTAAATGATAAAGAAAAACTGACTTCAGGTACAAAATATGGTTTTTAATATTTTTCTGTATATAAAGGAGCCCATAAAGGCAAAAGTGTCTAAGTCCCACCAAAGTGCTACTATACTAGAAAGAGGACACCGGCATCTCTGAGACCCTCTGTGGCAGTTGTCCTGTGGACATTGGGGATATTAAAGGATGCTTCTGTGAAACTGGACTCCATGGTGAGTGAAGGTGACAGGGTTTTGGAATCACAGAGATCAGGTGGAAATAAATAATGGCCAGAGACAAGGCAGATATAATTACTCCACCAGGCAGCATAGCCATGGTAGAAACAAGAACACCTTGATCTCAGGAAACCTAAGGCCATAACTAATAAACCATGTGTTCCTAGAGTCAAAATAGATGGGTGACACTGACTAAGGTGATGCTTGACTTGTATAACCAGAAAAATAAATGAAAAAAAAAAAGACCAGGAAAATAGAATGCTTTCTTAGCTGTTACCATGCACAATCACAGTTCCCTACCCAGATGCCAATTATGAATCATTTCTAAGACCCAAAGTCCATCTGTTGAAGATTAGACAAGGTCCTCTTGAAGAAAGACCCTAAACCATGATAAGCTGAGACAATAAATATTTCTTAGGTACCTCCCTACAAGGGGACCTAAATGGCATCATTTATCAGATAATTGTGTGCCAGGAAAAGTGAGATACTGAAACCTTGACTTGAGCTATGATGCATACAGGGCTAGAAAAGAGACATTCTGACTGATGCCAGAGGACATTCCAGTGCAGATTTTTGGAAGTCAACAGTGATATGGTTTGGATAATTGTCCCCAAAAGGGCCAGATGTTAAAGGCGTGGTCCCCTGGGCCATGCTACTGAAATGTGAAGGGACATTTATATAACCAAAGAGGTGGGGCCTACTGAGAAGAACTTAGGTAATTATAGGCCTGTTCTTGAAGGAGATTGTGGGACCCTTACACACACTGCACCACTGGCTTCTGCATATGCTCATCCCTCCCAGCTAAAGTCCATGGATCCAGAAATGGAGAGATTTGAGTAACATGGGTCCTTCTCACCACCACCACCCCTCAAGTGACTCACTTAGTATTTGTGCTTTCTATTCTTACAACTTAGGTTCTGCTGGATGACAGGTTCCAGCTCCAAGTGAAACTGCCTTCCCCCATGGAATGTGGTAAGGGTCCTTCTGAGCCAGAAGCCACCTGCTCACTCTGGGTTCTTCATGCTTGAGGGGCAATAGTATTTCTAAAGGAAGGGCTTACTACACAGGTAGGAGAAATCTGTCCTGATTATCATAAGGAAATAGGTTACTACTACCTGCTGGGGACAAAAAGCAGTATACCTGGAACCCAGGAGAGTCACTGAAGCGTATCCATTCCTGATGATAGTGCATGGGAAATTGCAGCAATCATGCCTAAAATATACAGTGTAACCAGGGAATCAGACCCACAAAGATAAATTCTGAATTTTTCCATTAAGCATCAAAAGTGCTAGCCAAGGCTAAAAAAATCTATATGATGGTGGAGGAGAGAGAAAAAATGATAAATATCAATTACAGCCTGGGGATTAGCATGGAATTGTATGTACTGTGGCTCTTTCTGCTGATTTTCTTTTTCTTTTTTTTATTAAATTCTTTTATTGGTGCATTGTAGGTATACAACACAATTACATTTCTCATTGGGAATTGTACCTTTACATAATGCATCTT